TGGTAACTGCCTTTGGGGTCAAAGGCCGGTTACAGCCTATCAAATCTAGAGGAGGGGTATTTAGGCCCAGTTCTCATCCTGCTCAGTGCCCTGTCGTGGTTTCCCTTGTGGTTGTCCGAGAGCGCGTTATTGATTCTGGTATTTCTGGTTATTTGACTTTGGCATTGTTTTTGACTTCCCTGTTTTCTGGCATCCCTGACTCCTGGCTTTTCCTTATCGTTGTGTCTCTTTCTGTTTCCCTTGACCTTGGCTTTTCCTGACTATTCTTTGGTACGTTAGTCTGGCCATTCTAAGGTCCAGTATACGTTACCTATCAGTCCTCTGTGTTACACAGTTCTACATGCTGTAATCCTGACAGTCTGTTTTTGTGTGTGCTTGTGTCTGTAACTGTGTGTATGTCTGTGGTTTCATCTGTGATTGTGTGTCTGTGTCTGTATGATTGTGTGCATGTCTTTGGTTATGTGAATGTATTTGACTGTGTGTTATTGTGTGTCTATATTTGTGGTTGTATGTGTGTCTGCGAATATATGTCTGTGATTGTGTGTCTGTCAGTGACTATGTGTGTATGTGATTATGTGTGTCTGTGATATTGTGTGTATGTGTCTATGATTATGTGCGTGTGTGTGTGTGTATATCTGTGGTTATGGGCTTGTATGTGTGTATTTGTGGTTACCATTATTACCTGTAGTTTACTACTGTTATATTTTGTACTTGCAGTTACATGTAGTTATTAATAATCTGTCTGATAGAATTTAATTGGCCAATATTTAAATTGTATACAGCAAATGTCTATTATGCTCTACAACACCTCAACCCCCCACCCCACCCCCTTGCCACTTCTAGCTATAAATTATTTTGAATAACTGTTTGTAAGTTTACCAAATATATGTCCAAATACATAACACTTCCATTTCCACCAAGCTTGTTTTAGGAATGTAATGTTGTTATGAACATAGTTGCCAAGTACTTCTTGTCCCATTCAACCTTCAACAAACAAAAGCATTGCAGCTCTTAGTGTAGATGTTAGTGTAATTAATGTACCACTATTATGTAATGAAATATTATTTTACATTATTTGTAGCTACATATCTGCATACAAATGATACCTTGTAGGCTAAAGTAATAAGCAATGCTTTGTAGGAGTCTGTAACCAAGGTACGTATCCCTGTGGCTTTGAAAGAATTAAATGTGAACAGTACTCTGTATGTATGCTGTGCTTTATTCTAACTTCTATCCGCTCTGTTCTGCTAAAAATGACTCATACAGCTAGATCAAGCATTGTATCTCCCGGTCAGTCTCAGGCCAAAGAAAATAGCAAATGATTGTCAAGTAAATAGTGCATTGCTAACCTGCTGTGGGAGACATGCAGGTACATATTTTAAATTGCTGTTTTTTTCCATCTTAAATGTCTGTTTTGTCGCTCACTCTCTTGCTAAGCGATTTATTTACACATACATGTATATATAATTTGTGAAATAAATTTGTCAAATAAAATGTATTCTTATATATACATATATATGTATATATATATATATATATATATATATATACATATACATATATATATAAATGTATTCTTTTTCTTTTTCTTTTTTAAATTTGTGAAATTTATTTTTATTTTTGAATGGTGAAGTTCTCTAACAGAAATATATTGAATAAGAGAAGAAATTACCAGGAGAAAGCGAAAATAATAAATGTGATGCTAATTAGCGACACATATCCTTTCCTATATATATAAATATAGGGAACATAGTAAGCAGCATTTAGACTCAAGCTGTCCGTCGCTGCCCTTCATTTTAATTCAGAATGTGTCTTGGTCTGTGGAGTCTGATGCTTTAAAAAAAAATCAAAACAACATTGAGAAACAACAAGCGGAAACTCAGAGCATAATTTATCCAGGGAGCTCTTGAACCTTTCAATTAGCAAATGAACATTTTTCATATACATTTAAAATATCATTATTTGAATAAAAAGATTTTATGTCAAAAGGATGCTGCTAAGTTATAACTATGGTTGAGGTAGGTTAATATTGCAGGGGTTCAGGATTAGTAAAGAATTAGGGGACTTGGCGATAGGTGGGTTTTTTTTCTGCCACGTGGCATTCGGCAGACGAACGCTGGCCGCACAGACAGAGGCATCAATTGAAGTAATCTTTGATGTTTAACGAGCCAGGGGGGTGATCTTTGTTCGGTAGCTACATCTACCGAATGCAATAGGCAGAAATAGGGTACTAAAAGAGGGATGCTGCTAAGGTATAACTATGGTTGAGGTAGGTTAATATTGCAGGGGTTCAGGATTAGTAAAGAATTAGGGGACTTGGCGATAGGTGGGTTTAAGGTAAATTCTGTCTTTGGTATAATGGAAGCGTGAGGTTAGTACTAAAGAGGTTCTAAGGGGAACTTGTGGTTAAAGTGTACTTAGCTTGAAGGTGCTGTATGCGTTAGCTTTCATATTTCCAAGGGATAAAATTTAAAGAACCATGTACTGGAATTTAAAGAGTTAAAATTTTGAGTGAGGTTTTTTTTTGCATGTTAATAGAAGCAACATGATCTTTTTTAATCTGACTGAAATTGGTTATTTATTTAATAGGTTATTTAAACTGTTTTTGATGTGTTAATTAAGTGACACATGCTGGTTGTCATTACTGATAATATTGTTCCTTTTACAGAAAAAAAAATTAAATAATCAGTGCAGCTTCATGTGTAAGCTACAGATGTTAAAAAAGTACATTCCAAGCACCATAACTACTTGTGAACAGGTGAATGTAGAAGCAAATTCCACTGAATGAGGTTTTTATCACAATCCTGTGAGGGAGTGTTAGATGGACGTTAGAACGTTGTGCGTGTGAGATAATGAAGAAGAATCTGAATAAGGGATTGAGTTGCCAAGACCCTTATAGGCAAGGTCTATTATGTTGAAAAATAATATACCCTTTAAAGGGGTACAGCAAGCTAATATAATGACTGGTAAACAGACAAGGTGTAGGAGGAGGAACATGAAAATAAAATAATGGAAGTCAGTTTAAGCAAATTTCTCATGCCGGCTGACAGACAAGAATGGTTTGCACCCAAGACTTGACAAAGAGCCCTCACAGGGTCGAAACGTTGTCAGTTAATTTTGATGGTGACTAAATAAGCATCCAACATTTTTATCCAGAGTGGCTTGAACTTTATTTTCGTTATGGACTGTACAGAGGTAGTTTGGGTTCTGGAGAGACCAGTTCGGTGTAAGAAAAAAGCAAATGTAGGTAATGATTAAATGGTGAAAATGACAGGATTTGATGACAGGCAGTGAGTTTGCATGGGTGGGTGGCACAAGAGCCTAAGGGACCATCTAATAAAGAATGTAAATCTACAGGGGAAGACGGATACAGCTGATACCTGGCTTTCTGCGATACCGGGTATGTACCACTGTGGGCATTGTATTAACTGCAATGGGGTGATCACGCACTTATTGTAGTACGCATGCGTGGGCTGTTGTTGCGCACAGCGGCGACTATGACGCCTGTGGGGCGTATTGTTAAAGGCATTCGCTTGCCAGTGAGTAAAATGGCGATTATAGACGCCAGATATAGTGTGAGCTTATTTACTGTTTGTATATGTACTAGAGGTTCGTTATCAGAGCAGTAATATTTATCATTTAGGTTATATGACTTCCTTTGCTCTGTGAATGTCTTTAGTGCACATAATTGATTCTTTTATGATATTACTATGTTACTATGAAAATATTGTGCCAGCACTTGAGGTGATGATGTCACTTCCGGAGTTGGTAACAACCTTATGCTGATGGCCATCAGCTGTAAGAGGGCTTTATAAGCAGGCACATCTGAACATGGATACAGGTACCTTTGATAAAGGCAGCCAGTTGGTGCCAAAACGTTGGGGGGTTTGGTGACTCGTGTTTCTGTCTTGTTGCTTGTAAGAATCTTTTTGGTATTTTACCATTTCTTTAAGGTATTTGCCCTTGCTTCTGTCATTGTGTTTATTTTTATTGTATGTTTTCATTTTGGTACTTTTTGTACATTATAAAGCTAAGTTTTTTGAGATTGTAATGGTGTGCATTCTATATTCTATAGATAGATGGGTGGATGGGCCTACCATCACCCTGTAGGGAGAGTGTCAGTGAAGGATTAGCTTTATAAGGTGGGAAGATAAAAAAAATAAAAATCTGAGTTCTAGAAAGACTGCATTTTAGAAAGCAGGAAGAAATACAGTAGGCGATAGCGGGGAGGCAGCTGGTAACAATTTCTCTAAAGGAAGGAGAGTGCTTGGGGACAGGGCCGTCTTTAATAACGAATGGACCCTGGGCAAGTGTTTGCTTGGGCCCCCTGTGCCCTGCCGCTCTCGCCCCTCACTCCCTGGTATGCAATCACGGCATCCATCCCAACGCAGTGGCGGTACTAAAGTAGAATGAATTTTATTGGGACCCCCAATTGCAAGGTTGGACTAAAGGTAGAACCCCATCTGTCGTGCAACTCCAACAATGCTTTGACAGCTGGGACTCTACCAATTTCCCATGCTTGCAGGGTTGTATTTAGCACTGAGCCATGTTAGTATGTTTGAATGTAAGCATGTGTTTGTATGGAGTATGTTTGTGTGAATGTGTTTGTATGTGGTACTGGAGTTTGAATGCAAGTGTGTGCATTTATGTGTAGTGTTTGTTTTGAATGTAGGAGTGTGCTTGTATGTAGTGTTGACGTTTCAATGCAGGAGTGTGTTTCATATGTAGTGTTGAAGTTTGAATGGAGGGGTGTATTTGTATTTAAAGTTGCGGCTCAGATGCACAGGTACACACTCTGACGCACAAGCAGATACACAGATACATACACTGACTACATACAGATAAACAGGCACATACACTGACAGACACACTGACACAGGTACATATATTGACACACACACAGACACATACACTGGTAGACGTACTGACAGACATACTGACACAGGCACATATACAGACATACTGACACACAGACACATATACCGACATACTGACACACACACACAGACACATACACTGATCAACATACTGACACACATACACTGACAGAAATACTGACACCCACACACCGACAGATATACTGACACCCACATACACTGAGAAATACTGACACACACACACAGGCACATACACTGACACACACAGACTGATATACTGACACACACACACACAGACATACTGGCACACAGACAGATATACTGACACATGCATACACATGCACTAACAGACATACTGACGCACTGACAGACATACTGACACATACACATACTGACACACACAGATATACACACACATATATACGACACACAGACAGACAGACATACTGACACACACACAGACATACTGACACACAGCTGACACACACACACACACACCAACACACACACCAACACACACCAACACACACATACACCAACACACACACACACACACCAACACACATACACAAACACACACACCAACACACATACACCCACACACACCCACAGCTAAACACATACACCAACACACACACACCCACACAAACACCAACACACACACACCAACACACACACACACACACACACACACACACCAACACAAAACACATACACCCAACACACACATACACACAAACACACAAACACCCTTGAGCTTTAGTCAGAATCCAGCCTACCTTGAGTGCTGGGGACCCCCTGGGTCCAGTGGTGGTGCTGTTGGTTTGGTAGGGCCACTTTTCGCCCTCGCCAGCTGCCGCTGGGGATGCCGGGCGCCGGAAGATGACGCCATCTCTCCTCGCCCTCGCATCAGTGCGTGCGCGAGGGAGCTGAAGAGGAAGCAGTGAGTGCTCCCTCGCGCGCCCGCCTTCCTGCCCGACCTGCCACCCGCCCGCCGGGGTCAGCGGGGCCCACGGGGCAGGTGCCTCGGGCCCCCCAAGAGAAACTGGGCCCGGGGCAGCTGCCCCGTTTCCCCCGCGTTAAAGACGGCCCTGCTTGGGGAGGAGATGTATTTATTGATGCCATCAGTATATTTTTTGACACAATTTTATTGCCACAAATTATTTTTTGGATTCCAGGACCTTTTTTATAGTTTAAAAAAAGAGCAATTAAATTACCCTTTATTCAGATGTAATTAAGTGCCAAGAAAGTCTCTTTTTTTGCAACCCAGTCCACCTCTACTGATGTCATCAGGCTTGCCCAATCAAATGCATTTGCATAGACAAGCGTTGGTGGACTTAATCCACATGCACGACTATAACGGCGATGCACCAATCAAATGCTTTTCATAGAGAAGCACTCAATCCAGTGATTCACTATTAGAAACCTTGATTGAACTTTCACTATATTCATGCAATGCACAAGTACTTAGAACATAAAGAACTGAGTCAAATACTGCTCTGATCACGGAAGGTGCGTTTTGCTCTGCAATCTAAACATTGCCACAGCTCTGAAATGGCATTGTTTTACATTGCGGGAGCAAAACGCCGGGTGTACTGGACATTTATTGAGATTAAGAAGTCTGGGTGTGTATGGTGTCACATTTATGGGATCCCAACCAAGAAAAGTCAAGGGGAGGACGTGTTACCAAGAAAGGAGATGCTGGAAAATAGTTGGAAAAGGTATGATGAGAACCAGGAAAGGACAGTGTCACAAAGGACAATAGTGTGAAGGGTTTGAAGAAGCATAGTGTGATCAAGTTGTAAATTCCATAAATGCACAAATGTATTAACAAATGAGAACTGTATTGGCATGTTCACTTGCCACATGTTAGAAATACAATATATTTTCCTTTAACATGCAATTTTTTTTACTGATATTTGTCCCTGCTCCATCTTTATTCATCTTTTATCATAGTGAATATCACAGTAATTGTATTTGTTTACTTGTTTTTGTGTGGTTTTTAAAGGAATATTAGAATGAACATTCATTGAGACTTTATTTTCTACAATGTTGAATTTCCAGCTGATTATTTCAATAGCAGTTAGTTAATACATGCCCCCAATTAGAGTTCATTCACTAAACCAAGGAGATGACAGTGGGAATTCAGATTTTATTCCAGAATATCCAAATTAGAATAATCTTTAAATTCAGCTAGTTTTCTAGCACAACTACTTTATACAGAAATCTGCAATTATCTTGTCAGTTGTCCATAGTTTCCAGTTTAATGGTTCTACCCCATAGGGTATTTAAATGAGAAAAGAATACTGTGTTCAGAAATATATAACTGTGCTCTACTGGATGTACTGTTTGGGAATATAATATAATATAACTCACCATCACATCCCGTGCTGACTCCAGTCTGTCTACATTGACAAGTCATTATGGTGGAAATAATCGGATATCCTTCCTTTGACACTTTTTTACTCATATAACTATTAAATCCTCTGTTCCTTGCCTTTGCCAGACTAATTCGGTTATCTGTCATTCTGGAAACCGTATGTGCATTAACAGGGCGATTTGAGCTCATATTGTTTCTTCTAACGTGAGCTTGTCTTTCTACGATTTACTTAATTTGCTCGCATGTTTATTGGAAGAGATGTAGAATGTGTTGATACTGCGATATATTAAGAATAAGAGTATTACATCAGTAAATCACACATATGTTGCAAATATGTCTGGAATGCCTTGAATATGTCCTTTAACTGCCTTTTCCATGCTTTCTTCTGTCTCGATGCACATTATCCTTTTAGATTGTAAGCTGACGGCGGGATGGTGATGGGTATTATAAAGACTCTACATCACTCTATTAGCCCTTCTTTGAATTTACTCTGGTGTATTTAGTACTTTTAAAGATAATGACACAGTAATGAGACACTGTATTCTATGTGAGTTCTTTAGAGTGACATATACAGTGCATACACTAACTCCCAAATCCTTCTACTAATTCACTGTATATTTCCTTTTATACTGCATTTGTTGTGTTTAATATAATATAATTGGTGTCTTAGTAAATCTATGCATGCTTGAAATTGAACTGGTTATCAAAATGATTATGGTGGCCTGGATTTTGACAAGTGTGACTTTTTATTTACTGCTTTAACTATTGTCTCCTCCAGTTATTGCACAATATTACACCCTCACTACCAGGAGTTGTGACGGAAAGTTTCCACCACTTTTGTATGGGCGACTCTGTATCTACACTACCAAGTCAACTAACACCAACCTAACACCAAGCCTTCAGGTGTATAGCTTGCCGAGAAAAACTTGGAGGCCAGCCTGCTTTCTGGAGACTATGGTCTACTTGAATACAGGGCGGCTCGGATATTATTACTTTGTGTGTCTGTGATTTTAGTTGTGATGAGAAGGACATGGTTATCAGCAATAATCAGCATGGTTTTATGAAGCACAGGTCATGTCAAACTAACTTGATTGCATTCTCCGAAGAAGTAAGTAGAAGTATAGATCAGGATGTTGCAGTGGATGTGATCTACTTGGATTTTGCCATGGCATATGATACAGTTCCACACAATAGATTAGTGTTCAAACTCAGTCTAGATGAAAATGCTTGTTCTTGGGTAGAACATTGGCTTAAAAATAGAGTACAGCGAGTTGTTATTTATTGTATACAGGTGGCAAGTGGTTTTGTTTTGGGACCCCTTCTATTTAACATGTTTATAAATGATCTTGAGAAAAGCATTAAAAAGTCATGTTTTTTGTAGTACTTTAATTACTTTACTTTATTACATTGTCTGCCACCTGCGTTATGTAAACTTTGAAATATATTTATTTCCTATGTTAAGTAAATCAGTTGTCTCATGCCTTCACAAAAACTTGTCTTGTGGTTGTCTTGAGGTCTTTGCAAGGCAGGTGCCTCTGCGCAATTGCTGCCTCTTGAGTTTATCTTCACTGAGCTAAACAAACCAGGAAGTAACAGGAGAGTTGTCTGTTTGAAAGTCAAGGGGTGTAACAAGGTTAATTTATAAAAGTGTCAATTTCTATTGAAATCTGCACTATTTGCAAACTGAAAAAAGAGGACACACTCTTCACACATAAAGCTTTTCAGCAAGCTAAAATTGTTTAGGGGTATGAAGTGACCCTTTAAGAGTTACTGTCATTCTATGACTATCAATCTGAAAATTACATCACTAAAAAAAGATTGAAATCACCTAAATCTTGTTAACATTTTATGTGATGCTGTGATTTTGTTGAAATATGTAATAAAGATTTATCAAGTGACATCTCAATCCATTGGACAGTAATTTGTTTTTTACCTTTTCCCTATTATTTTCCACCCAATAATATATTTTCATGACTTGATGTAAAAACAAACAAACAATGAACTGCATTATGCATTCTGTGCGCAACCTAATTGTATTATTCTAGAATTGTGTGAAAATATATTTATTTAACCAAAAAGGAAAAAAAAGGTTACAGGAAATTATGCAATATAAATCAATATGTTTAGAGCAGTGTCAAAAAATGTCACTTACAGCGAGACATTTACCTTTCTCAAGCATGCCCTTTACAAAATAATAAACTGCTCGTGGCATTTTCAGATGCATTGTGACCCATTTCATTATATGTAAAGAAAACCGTACCACAGTGCAGTCAGGTGCAGTATTGTGCAGATAAAATTATGTAAAATATATGGATTTTAAATAGAGATGAACAAGAGTTCAAATAACATAACTCACTTGTTTTTACAATATTACCTATATGTCAGGAGATATTTGAATTTAGAGATTTGATATATGTTTAGCTTGCATTTATATATTGCGTTTTGTTATCATCCATGTATAAGATTATTTGTAAAATAAAATATTACATAATGTTGCAGTTTTCAGCTGAAGACAGAATTTTTGCCAGTTGACAGTACTGTGAGAGATACCAGTGAAGCTTTATTTATAGGTAATGTTGATGACTAGGCTAAGGTTTTCTTATCAAATATTTAAGCTCACTCTCGAGAATTACATTCCGTCTTAGATCAGGAGTTTACTTGAGATCGCAATGTAAATTCACTGTCATTTTCTTCTGAAATTGAAGCTTCTCGGTGCAAGTGGAAGCCACTTTCCCTTTCAAACATGCATAAAGAATCCACAAATGTCCAGGAGTGGCTACAACGTGCTCTATTGACTAAATTAAAACAGAAAAAGCTAAGAATGATGAAACTGTATCCCTTCAAGAAACACATCCACAGTCAGAGCATATGAGAAAAAACAATCTACTATTTTGCTGCAAAAAGTACTGATTTTAAGCAGGTAAACAAAGGACCACTTTCACGTTACCAATACATTTTTATTTAAATTATTTCAAGGCTCTTATTCATATTCATGGTATAGTTTTTGTGGCACAAACAGGTAAGGCAAATTGATTTGATTGTATAAATTGTATCTTTTTGTAATTCCCCGTATGATGAGGGGTCCCACTGTCCCTGACCAACCTGCCTCTGGTGACTATGGCACTATCCTCACCATTCCACTTGCTCTGCCTAAGGGTGGTAATGGTGGAGGAGACACTGCTGTTGGTAGATGGTGAATAGAGTTGAGCGGACACCTGGATGTTCGGGTCTGGCGGGTTCGGCCGACCTTTGAAAAAAAGTCTGGTTTTGGGATCGAACTTGACCCCGAATTTGACCCAAACTTTTTGGCACAAAAATGCCTCTAAAAAAGTCCTAGAAAGGGCTAGAGGGTTGCAAAAGGAAGTAAAATGGGGGTAAGAGTAGGACAAGTGCCATGCAAACAAATGTGGATAGAAATATCACTTAAAATAACATAAAAATTAAAAATACAGCTGAGCCATAAAATAGCACTAGATGGAATCTTTGATTTTAGCTTTGGAAGAACATAAATCAAAATCTAAAGCATGGCTGTCAGAAGGATCACCATAATTATCCATTTGAGAGAGGGTTGGAGTGCAGCGTATTCTCTTTCATTGTTCAAACTGAGCTCAACTCCTGATGCATGGAGAAAAGGTCTTCACAAGCCTCTGCTAATGTGTACATAGTTTATACTAAGTGACCCATAGGTTGAGGAGGCGGTGACCGTGGCGGTGTAGGTGGAAGCAGCAGTGGAGGAGGAGGAGGTAGCCAACACTGTTTTTTTATATATATATATATATTTTTTATTTTTTTTTAATTGGGGTAGCCCCCAAAATATTGGGACATATAAAAAAAGAAAACTCTGTTCCGCAGAGCGACTGACCCGTGCTGAAACTCCACTATCGCCTACTGCTGCTCGCACAGTTTCATGAGGTGGTGAGCGGGAAGGCCGAAGTTACGCTGCAGCGCAGACAGGCAAGCAGCAGCAGGGTGAGAACACCAAAAGCGTGCACAGACGGCCCACACTTTCTGCAGCAGCTCTGATATATCTAGGTAGTTTTTCAGGAATTTCTGCACCACCAAATTCAGCACATGCGCCAGGCAAGGGATGTGCGTCAAACCGGCTAGACCCAGAGCTGCTACGAGATTTCGCCCATTATCACACACCACCAGGCCGGGCTTGAGGCTCAGTGGCAACAACCACTCATTGGTCTGTTGTTCCATGCCCATCCACAGCTCCTGCGCGGTGTGGGGTTTTTCCTGCAAACATATGAGTTTTAAAACAGCCTGCTGTCATTTTCCTCTGGCTGTGCTGAAGTTGGTGGTGAAGGTGTTACGCTGACCGGATGAGGAGGTGGTAGAGGAGGAGGAGGAAGAAGCTGAGTAGGAGGAGGAGGCAAGAGGAGGCAAAGCTGTGTACCCAAATAAAGATTGTCAAACGTTGTATCCTGGAACTGTGTCCCATCTGGTTACTGGGGAAATGGGCCTGACCTATTCTAATCAAAAGGGATAACCATCGGTTACCCAGGTCCCGCTTCAATTGGTGGCAAGCGGCGGGATCCCATGTCCCTGCCAACAGACCCATGGACTACAGTGCTCTAAAGCAACCTACACTGCAGGACTTGTGTGGAGCCAGAGGAATAATGCCTGGTGGGCATAACAAGGCCGAATTGACTGCTGCGCTCATGGAGGACGACCAGGCACGCAGTGAGGCAACGAACCCCAGCCAGGGGCCAGAGATGAGGAGGAAGAGCGCAAGGAGGTGGAACGGCGCCTGGCATATTACCGAGAGCCACCCTCAGAGGAGATTGTCAGCAGGACTTTTTTGGACATGCAAGCTTATGTCTTTGCCAATAGACAAAGGGTGACCTCCATGAACCCAGATGAAGGAAGAATGGAGCAGAGGGCGCCGGGAATCACAACCACTCTAGCCCACAAGCTACCATGCAATGCCTTCAAAGAGTTCAAGGAAGCAGAAGAAGGCATCGATTACTTTTTACAAGACTTTGAGCGCCAGTGCCTACTCCAAGACGTGGACCCCAGTGACTGGGTCACCATCCTGGCCAGCAAACTAGTGGGGAAGGCAGCGGATATTTACCTGGCTGTACCAGAAGAGCAGATGAGAGACTAACCCTATATTACCCAAATCCTCCTGGCCCGGTATGCGGTCACCCCTGAGCAATACAGCCGAAAGTTTAGGGAGACCCGGAAAGGGGAGAAGGACTCGCACGCGGAGTGGGTATGCCGCATTACAAGGGCCACCCAAAACTGGCTCAACTCCCATCAAGCCAAGTTCCCGGAGGAGATCATCCAACTCGTCACTTTTTCAATGGGCTCCCCAACGACAAAGCGACAACGCATTCGTATGTCATCCATATCAACTTCCGATGCCATTTACTGCGCCTACCATGTTGACCACAGGTAACGGGAATCAGGGTTCGATTCCAGAGAGGGAGCCTGAGAAATGGCTACCACATGCAAGGATGGCAGAGGGCGCGCAAATGACCCACTCCCAACGCGGGAAGGTAGTGACGACAAATAACAATACAGGACTCTTTAGAGGCCCTGTAATTGTAATGAGTCCACGTGAAATCCTTTAACCCTGATCAATTGGAGGGCAAGTCTGGTGCAGAGCGACTGACCCATGTGTGCTGCAGCTGAAACTCCACTATCGCCTGCTGCTGCTCGCACCGTCTCTATAGCATGTGCAAGGTAGAGTTCCACCTTGTGGGCACGTCGCATATGAGGCGGTGAGTGGGAAGGCCAAAGTTACGCTGCAGCGCAGACAGGTGAGCAACAGCAGGGTGAAAACGCCAAAAGTGCGCACAGCCGCTACAGTGAATGTCACATCCTGTTCTAAGTTGCGGATCAGTCTGGTGATGGCTTCTGGTAACCAGTGCTCTTTTTACTGAAGCTGCATCAGGGTCCTGGTATGGGGCCGCACAAACACTGGTGCTCAACACCAGGGGGCATGCCGTTACCCTGCACCAGACCCTGCTTATCCATTCCACACTGTGACTAACTTCAACATCAGGCATACTGGGTCCTGGTCGTCCGACCGCCAATCAGACAGTGTCTGGGTCCCGGTCACCAGACTGCGAAACTGCCAATGGCTCGTTAAATCTGTTATGTTTTTTTTATCGCTTCAACTGTTACTTGGATAACTGTGGGAATTCAAAAGATAATACCTGCCGACGAGTGCTAGGGGACAGCCACTCCGCTTTTGCACCCTGCTCCCTCTTATGCTGTGCTGGTGTCTCTGTGCGACCAGCGCCTCTTCCTCCAAACTGCACACGTTACTCGCATGACCTTGATTCCATGTGGGGTCTAGGACTTCATCATCCTCCACATCATCTTCCACTCACTCCTCAAACCTGCCCTCCTCGCCGGTCTGCACACTGCATAAAGCCACAGCAGTTGGCATCTGTGTTTTTCCAGCATGTAAAGTCTGCAAAGGACATAGGGAAATTGTTTTAGAAGAGCACACCCCAAATTTACTATTTAGCAGACTAGCACCCACAAAATAAGAACATTTCAAACTGCGCTGTAAGCGCAGTATTTGACGCTTCTGTTTGACTCTCAGATATGAAGAGCACGCCCCAAATTTACTATTTAGCAGATTAGCACACAGAAAATAAGAATGTTTACAATTGCGCTGTAACCGCACCATTCAACGCTTCTATTTGACTCTCAGATATGAAGTGCACCCCACTAATGTACTTTTTAGCACCCCAAAAATTTTAAGTTTTAAAACTGCAATGTGACAGCAGTATTTCACTCTTCTATTTGACTCTCAGATATGAAGAGCACGCCCCAAATTTACTATTTAGCAGATTAGCACCCACAAAATACGAATCTTTCAAACTGTGCTGTAAGCGCAGTATTTGGCGCTTCTATTTGACTTTCAGATATGAAGAGCACGCCACTAATGTACTTTTTAAAACCCCAAAAATGTTAAGTTTTAATACTCCGATGTAACCGCAGTATTTGACGCTTCAATTTGACTCTCAGATATGAAGAGCACGCCCCAAATTTACTATTTAGCAGATTGGCACCCACAAAATAACAATGTTTCAAACTGTGCTGTAAGCGCAGTATTTGACGCTTCTATTTGACTCTCAGATATGAAGAGCACGCCCCACATTTACTATTTAGCAGATTAGCACACAGAAAGTAAGAATGTTTACAATTGCGCTGTAACCGCACTATTTGACGCTTCTATTTGACTCTTAGATATGAAGTGCACCCCACTAATGTACTTTTTAGCACCCAAAAAATTTTAAGTTTTAAAACTGCAATGTGACAGCAGTATTTCACGCTTCTGTTTGACTCTCAGATATGAAGAGCACGCCCCAAATTTACTATTTAGCAGATTAGCACCCACAAAATAAGAATGTTTACAATCGCGCTGTAACCGCACTATTTGACGCTTCTATTTGACTCTCAGATATGAAGAGCACGCCCCAATTTTACTATTTAGCAGATTAGCACTTTGAAAATAAGAATGTTTCTAATTGCGCTGTAAGCGTAGTATTTGACGCTTCTATTTGACTCTCAGATATGAAGAGCACGCCCCAAATTTACTATTTAGCAGATTAGCACCCAGAAAATAAGAATGTTTCTAATTGCGCTGTAAGCGCAGTATTTGATGCTTCTATTTGACTCTCAGATATGAAGAGCACGCCCCAAATTTACTATTTAGCAGATTAGTACCCAGAAAATAACAATGTTTCAAAATGCGCTGTAAGCGCAGTATTTGACGCTTCTATTTGACTCTCAGATATGAAGAGCACGCCCCAAGTTTACTATTTAGCAGATTAGCACCCACAAAATAAGAATGTTTCCAATTGCGCTGTAACCGCACTATTTGACGCTTCTATTTGACTCTCAGATATGAAGAGCACGCCCCAAATTTACTATTTAGCATATTAGCACCCAGAAAATAAGAATGTTTCCAATTGCGCTGTAACCGCACTATTTGACGCTTCTATTTGACTCTCAGATATGAAGAGCACGCCCCAAATTTACTATTTAGCAGATTAGCACCCAGAAAATAAGAATGTTTCCAATTGCGCTGTAACCGCACTATTTGACGCTTCTATTTGACTCTCAGATATGAAGAGCACGCCCCAAATGTACTATTTAGCAGATTAGCACCCAGAAAATAAGAATGTTTACAATTGCGCTGTAAGCGCACTATTTGACGCTTCTATTTGACTCTCAGATATGAAGAGCACGCCCCAATTTTACTATTTAGCAGATTAGCACCCACAAAATAAGAATGTTTCCAATTGCGCTGTAACCGCACTATTTGACGCTTCTGTTTGACTCTGAGATATGAAGAGCACGCCCCAATTTTACTATTTAGCAGATTAGCACCCAGAAAATAAGAATGTTTCAAACTGTGCTGTAAGCGCAGTATTTGACGCTTCTATTTGACTCTCAGATATGAAGAGCACGCCCCAATTTTACTATTTAGCAGATTAGCACCCAGAAAATAAGAATGTTTCAAACTGCGCTGTAAGCGCAGTATTTGACGCTTCTATTTTACTCTCAGATATGAAGAGCACGCTCCAAATTTACTTTTAGCAGATTAGCACCCAGAAAATGAGAATGTTTCCAATTGCGCTGTAACCGCACTATTTGACGCTTCTGTTTGACTCTGAGATATGAAGAGCACGCCCCAATTTTACTATTTAGCAGATTAGCACCCAGAAAATAAGAATGTTTCAAACTGTGCTGTAAGCGCAGTATTTGACGCTTCTATTTGACTTTCAGATATGAAGTGCACCCTACTAATGTACTTTTTAGCACGCAAAAAAAGTTAAGTTTTAAAACTCTGATGTAACCGCAGTATTTGATGCTTCTATTTGACTCTCAGATATGAAGTGCACCCCACTAATGTACTAGTTTCTTTCCTAATCTGTCCCTAACAGCTGCAGCATCCTGTCCCTACGCTCATGTGCGTGGGGCGTTACTCGACTCCAGCTTATATAAAGAGGCTGGGTCAGATGCTGCACTGGCCAATCACAGCCATGCCATTAGTAGGCATGGTTGTGATGGCTTCTAAGGGCCAACGAGTCAAACGCTTGTTGATTGGCTGCCCTGCAGCCTTTCAAAACGCGCCATTAAATCGCCGAAAACCGAACTCCAACCCGAACATACAGTGATATGTCCGTGTTCGGGTCCGGGGTCCAATTTAATGTTCGGTATGAACCCGAACTTTGCGGTTTTGGTTCGCTCAACTCTAATGATGACACCAGCACTGTAGAATAATATAAACCCCTGGCCTGCCTTAGTAGTGCTTTGCTTCTTCCTTCAGTAATACAGCCTTGTAGTGAGACGACCCAGCACTCTCCCCTTGTTAACTTCCGCAGCACAATTTGCACAAAGTAAGAACTTGTGACTGCTGAAGATGCAGGTGCACTTGCATCAATGGCAGTGGAAACTGTTGTAACACTAGTCTTACATTAGCACTTGGTTACTTAATGCTAATAAAAATGTTGATGGTGGTGATACTGGTGATGGTGTGGTTATTGGAGGTGGTGGTGGTAATTGTAACAAGGATAGTGAATGATCCATTTGTGTTACTAATAGCAACTGATGTAACAACTGTCTCCATTAGATAATGAAATTTAAAAGCAAATAGAGATGGCCTTTGACAAGGTGAAGAAAATGTAGGAGATGATTACACTAGACTATCCTCTTGTAATTCCTCTGGCTGATACTAAAGTTTCTCATGGACCAGAGGTAAAAGTGCTATATCTGCAATTGGAGAGGAAAGGCAGCCATATTATCACCAGATCCATCACATCCACCAATGCCACCGCCAAGACCAGACATTGGGAACGCTATTTTTGGTACTCTGCTCTACCTCGTTAGTAGAGTGTCTCTAATAACCCACACAAATTAAACTCTGCTGAGCACTCCCTTAGTTGCTTCTTGTGGAGGGCTACAAGAAGGTATAATGCTTATCAGTACATTGTATCATATACTATAATGGCATTGATTTTCCTAGTATAACACTCCAAGCAACATGACTAGTACTGGGGGTGTACCTGGAGCATTTGGCACCGGGGGCGTACCTGGAGCATTTGGCAAGCTCTCGCCAATCGCGGGAACAGAGGATCTGCTGCTGCTGGATGTGAAATGAGCGTGGATACTCTTGTAAGAGGCCCAGGCCCTTTACATAAGACACAGGGGTGGCAAAATGCCGCCCCTGTGAAAGTGCACACTGGGCATCCCCCTGTTGAGTGGCACCCTGGGCGGACCGACCGACCCTCTGCCCCTTTCTTAGTACACTACTGACTAGAACATCTCACTGTAGTGATTTTGGCGCAAGGGGTGTCCTGCCCCCCTCTACTTTTTAACAGTTGGACTTACATGGGATCCACCGGGCAACACTCTGCATTTAAACTCCTAACACTGGATGATCAGGAACTTCCATTAGTTAAACTCTGCAGTGGTGTCTGAAGAGCTAATGGTAGTTCTGTTTAGGAACTTTCTCCTCTCCAGAAATAGTAGTAGAGGCAGGG